CCTCACGCCGCTTATTATTCTTCTTCTTGTTGGGTCGGGTTAGAGGTGCCTTCACCAAAGTCCTTGTCCTTCGCCTTGCCCTTGGGGTGGTCAAAATCGCCTGATCGCCTCCCGCACGAGGCGCGTACCGGTGGTGATGTCGAGGAGCTCCTTCGTGGTTCGTGGGCCCTTACATCCTAGCTGGTGAACCAGGGACTCGTAGGTGGTCCTAGACAGAAAGGCTCCTATAACATCGGTGTCGGCGACGTTGGGCAACTCGTTGCGCTGCCGGGAGAAGCATCGGATGTACTCACGAAGAGTTTGCCCAGACTTCTATCGGCAGTTTTTGTGATCCCACGAGTTCTCAGGACGCGTGTAGGTGCCCTGGTAGTTTCCCACAAAAATCTCCTTTAGGTCCGCCCAACTTTAAATCCGGTTGGGCAGAAGGTGCTCCAACCATGTTCACGCCGAATTGGCCAGGAACAATGGGAGGGTGCAGGTAATGAAACTATCACTATCCGCTCCACCAGCTTGGCAAGTAAGCCAGTAATCCTCGAGCCACAGTCCCGGGTTTGTTTTCCTAGAGTATTTTGGGATGTTGGTCGATGGTCGGTACCGCGGTGGGAAAGCGGCGTCGAGGATGTGTCGGCCGAAGGCCTGAGGTCCCGGTAGGTCAGGACTTAGGCTCTAGTCCTCGCCGCTGTCGTAGCGTCCGTCGCGATGAGGGTGATAGCCACGGCTGGCTTCCTCGCTCTCGTCATTTCATCCATGCCTATGGGCATCTAGGGTGTTATGTGGGTCATGGTGGAGGCCGACACGCTCAAGCACCGGGGCCACGGCGCCTGGTGGACAGACACGTCCCTAACATGTCATCACGAGGGTGCGTGCTGGCTGGCGTTGAGCTCATGTCGCCGAGACAGTGAGCTTTCCGCCGGCTGCCAGCGCCTTGCGCCGCTCCGAAGCGATGCGGATCTCACGATGGGCCCGACGATCTCTGGGTGTCGCAGGCTCCGGGAGCCCTCAGAGCAAGGCCGCCGCGATAGCGATGTTCCGGCTTGTCCGGTCGAAGTGTGGAAGGGCTCCATCATCTTCGATGATCCTCCGGTTCACATCACGGGCCATGGCGCGCGCACGTCCACCGTCTCCACGGTGCTCGATCCCTGCTCAAGCTTCGTGCTCCTGCTCCAGCCTAGAGTCACAAATCCTTGAGTTCCTGTGCATCACGCGCCTCACCGCTCCACCCATAACCGAGGCGGGGACCTCGTATCTCCCTCGACGTCGTAGTTGAGGTGGTTTGGTAGGTAGCCCCTCCCTCATGGGCGCTTTCGCCGCGTCCCTGGAAGTACCTCCGCCATAAAACATTCTCATGAGGGGTGATGGCTCCCCTCGCTTTGAGTCGGGCAACTCAATCTCCCCATGAAAAAGGTCATGGAAAGATTCCACGACGTATTCGGTCATTCCTACGAACTTGTCGTTCGTAGGGGATGGGTGCATGCGCTGCGCCACGAGGTGGCCAACGGTCTCTGCGGCGTTGCGCAAACCGAACGATAATGCTATTGGGGCGCTCCAGATGAGGTATTCTAGGCAGAGCGGTTCTCGCCCGGCAAGCTATGTCGTGACATTGGCGAACGAGAAGGCGAGGCAGCGTAGGTCCCCCCGAGACGGTCAAGGTCCCAGGAAGGCATCGAGCTGGTGCTTTAGCCTCCCGTAATCGAAGCCGAGGAGCTGGTTGCTCCTAGGGGCACGGGCCTCCGGCGCGTGTAGCTACAGCTCCTCAAGCGCCTCGATGATCGCATCGAGGCCGGTGGAGTAGAGAGGCTGGACGGCGGCGGGAGCCTACGCCAACTCTCCCTCCATCGTGATGATGAAGTTCAAGTTCTCGAAGCGCACGTGTGCGCCCAGGACCTAGCCGACGCTGTGACTAGCCATCCGAGGCCTGATGTGGACGTCGAGACGCGCAAAAAGCCCCTACTTGGAGCACCAACTGTCGGTGTTTTAAGCCACCGGCTAGTAAATTTGTATCTACGTGTCTGGGCCGGATGGTGTGCTCGGAGGACACAAGAATTTCTATGGGTTCGGGTGGAATGTCCCTACATCCAGTCTGCTGTTGCTCGTGTTACCAGCACTAGTTTGTCGTAGGGGTTACAAACGGGCGAGAGAGGGAGAAGGTTCCAAGTCTCTGGTGAAAGGATTAAACGGAGTTGAGTCTTGTTGAGCTTGTTTAGCCGTATGCTCGTCCCTCTCATGGGGGCATCCTGCTTCCCCTTTTATAGGTGAAGGGGAAGCCGTAGGTTACAGAGAGAGAAAAGAGAGAGAAAAGGGGAAAAGCAAGATAGAAGAAGGCCTCTAGGGTCGCCGCGTCTTTCTTCTCCTTCATGCAGGTCCCATCGATGTTGTAGATGGTGACGGGGATGGCTTCGTCGTGCTCCTGTTCACCCCTCGATGCCATGCCTCACGCGTCATCGGTGGTTGTGGTGTCCCATCCCATCCCCGATGGATTTGCATGGTGAGACGACATGCCCGCCGCCGTGCAGAGGATTAGGCAAGACAAATGACCATGCACCTGTCCATCGCATTGGCGATCGAACCCCGGGTGTGGCCTGACATGGCCATGGGTCACGTTGAGACATGCCCGCTTCTCTCCCGGTGTTAGAAGTTTGACCCCGGGGTCGTACCCTTAGACCCATAGTGGTTGGAGGCGGTATGGGTCCCTGTCGGGCAAGACAGAGCCAGCGCCCTTGGGGTCAGGCGGGACGGAGCCCGTGCCCTCAGGGTCGGGCGAGACGGGTCCCGTACCCTCGGGGTCGGGCGACATAGGGCCCGTGCCCGAGGGGCTCAAGGCGAGACGGAGCCCGTGCCCTCAGGGTTGGGAAAGACGGCTCCCGTACCCTTGGGGTCAGGCGACACGGGGCCCATGCCCGAGGGATCTAGCGAGGCAAAAACCATCCCCTTCGGGTCGGTCGAGACCCAAAATCGTCCTCGATTTTCTAGGCGAGTTTGTCGTCCGCGGTCCTCTGATCCCTTCGTCGAGTATCCCTAATACTGATACCTGACAACATGTATAGCAGCTGATTTTTTTGGAAGGGAGAGCATGATAATCAATAGGTACAACAGCATAGAGGATGGCCGTAAACAACAATAAACTACTTGCAGTGGGTTTAAACTAAGATTAGGTATGCTCTTGGTGGCTTGCCGTGTCGATTTCTGATTATTGTATTTGTATGGCCTGCATATGATGCATTTGCTTAGTATACTCTTGTTTGGCGGGACAAAGAAGGTCGGTCGATGTAGTGATACATAACTACCAATTGGAACACGTCGATGATGTGGGTAGCTAGTTTTTTCTTTTGTTTTAATATATTGTTTGGTTTTTCTAAATTGAAACCAAACAATTTGTTTCTTTGTTTGATTATATGATGATTCTCTACTCGGCCCAGTCCATCCATCATCAGCACAAAATCAATTCCTTGGTTAAAGCTATTGTGCCTCTCTTCTCTTTGCTCTCTATTCAAGGCGTGACTATGTAATTTCTATTGATATCATATCAAAGTAGCTCTCTATTTTCTTTTGGTGAGCTTTATTCCTCAATAAAACCACCACCCAAGTGTTTTATAAATTTTCAGTTCATTGGAACTCTTCTAAATATAAATTTTGGATCATCTTGTATACTCTATCATAGATTTATATTTGCCTTTTTTGCCCTTAAAAATAACCGAGCTCAACAAATTGTTCCTCATATCTGCTAGAGCCACTAGCCAGTCCTATCATCATGCTAGCATCTATTGGCACATCAAGCCTTTTCAATGAAACTATGGAACAACCACAGGTGATATGTTGATCTTAGACTTCTGACCACACTTGTTTCTGTAATTCCTTGCAAAGAAGAAAACCAAACGATGTGTGTTATTACACTATTCATGAGCTTCTCACGCATGCGAACCGGGGAATAAATAGACCAATTGTATGTAAGAAATCAAACCCAATATGCTTTTGTGATTTATTTAGTCATAATATGGCTATCGTAGATGTTCCTCCCTAGGTCACTTGGCATGAAAGATGTTAGATTTGAGTTGCTACCGTTGTAATAATCATGTTCTATTAGGTTGTTTACCCTTGGCGACATCAATGTGATGCAAAACATTTTGACAGGAACACGTACGAGGAAGGGGGTTCGAAGTGCTTCCATGATTTTTCAATGATATGTAACATTGGTGTCCCGTTTGCATATCTTTTGCATGCGCGTAATCCCTCCCATAGATGTTCCCTGTGCCTTGTTTTCTATTACCGTGGCAAAATCCAATTGTAACGTTGATTGAATTCTACACTACTATTCTTTTCCATACCAATTCTATCTATATTGGAGGCTTTAACTTTTCTAATACATATATATCTTTTGATATTTAGAAGAGTACCAAGGAACTAAACAATTTATGACAGACTTGGATAGTGGTTTTATTGAAGAGTGGAGCTCAATGAAATCAAATGGAAGGCTCACTTGATTTGGCATCAATAGAAATTGCTCAGCCATGAGGTAAGTAAGAAAATCATAGAATAGGAGAGATATACAACATCTTTGAGCCAAGGAATTGATCGACAACACATATATGGACTTCATGCTGATGGAATCAATGTGCTTTCGTCTAAACTTTTTTTTTCTTCAATCCATAGGATTTAAGATGTTAGAGTATTTGATTCTAACATTTTTCATGTGTTTTTTTAGCAATCCTACATTCTAAAGAGGCCCTAAAGGATTCATCATTCATGAGCTCAGGCCCCTCCAACTTTGCCGCCTGTGTTTCTAGTAATAATAATGGTCTAAAAGCACGCCATGTCATGTTTGGATCATGCTTAATAGGACCCCGTGCTGTGTTTGGATCATGGGCCGTGCCCGTACCCGCTCGTTGGGCCTGGTACATCCGCTTCATCTTCTGTAGCAGCCCAATGATGAATTTTATCGCACAGAAGACCGCTCGTGGTTCGAACCGACGAGGACGCCGGCGACCCTCAGCCCCGCCACCGCCATGATCCGTCGCCTCCCCTCTCTCGTCCGCGCCGCCACCCAGCTCCCCTCCCTTATCCACCATGGCAACTGCCGCCTCCTCCTCTCCACCTCCCCCGCCCCTTTCTCCCTCGAGGCCTACCTCGTGGCCTCCTGCGGCCTCACCCCAGCCCAGGCCAGGAACGCATCCAAAAAGGCGCTCGCCAAGGCATCCAAGTTGTCCGAGAGGGCGTTCAACGATCTCTCCTCCACCCGCCTCCACCCCGGCTTCGACCCCGACGCCGTCCTCGCCCTGCTCTCCAACATCGGCCTCTCCCGCGCCGACATCGCCGACGTCGTCGCCGCCGACCCGCTGCTCCTCCGGTCCCGGGTGGACAAACTCGAGCCGCGCATCCTCGCCCTCCGCGACCGCGTCGGCCTGTCCGTTCCCCAAATCGCCCGCTTCCTCGTAATCGGCTCCTGGGAGCTCCGCAACTGCGGCGACGTCGCGCCCAAGATCCAGTTCTTCGTCTCCTTGTACGGCTCGTTCGATCAGTTCCTAGTGGTCATCAAGAAGACCCAATCACTTCTTGCCATGAACGTTGATAGGGTGATCAAGCCGAACATCGCCCTGCTTCTCCAGTGTGGCCTAAGTGTTCGAGATATTGCCCAGCTGTGTTCGAGGGTCACCTGGCTGCTTACGTTCAACCCGGAGCGTGTGAAAGAGCTCGTGTTGCGCGCGGAAGAGCTTAGGGGTGCCCCGCAGCTCGGGAATGTTCAAAAGAAGCGTTGGCTGCTGTAGCCTGTACAACCAAAGAGAACTGTGCTGCCAGACTTGACTTATTGGAGAGTACTCTTGGCTGCTCCAAGAGTGAAGTTGCCACTGCTGTGTCCAAGAAGCCAAACATTATAGCAATATCTGACGAAAGTCTTCTCCGCAAGATCCAATTCTTCATCAACGAAGTTGGACTGGATCCACATTACATTTTGCAAAGGCCTGTCCTCTTCACATACAGCCTAGAGAAGCGACTAGTGCCCCGACATTGTGTCATGAAGGCCCTGCTGGCAAAGGGATTGCTCAACAGAAATGTGAGCTTTACACATTGGCTAAAACTGGAGAGAGACTTTCAGATTGAAGTTTGTCGACCCTCACAACGACTCTGTTACTGGGCTTGCAGATGCTTATGCCACTACTCATAGTGGCAGTGTGCCCCATAGCTCAGCTATAACATCTTAAAGTGTTTTAATATTCTCAATATTATTCAGGCAGATGGTAGGATTTCTACTCATGCTCATTGGGAACTGTCCATGCTAAAGACTCCTTTTGGTTTCTGTAACAGAACTACTGGTCTTTAACGGCTCATAGTCCAAGTTCAGGATTTGGTCATCTATGAGGAACTGGTTTGGAGCTATTCTGGGTCCTTACTGTTTGAGTGTAGTAGACTAGTAGTCACTTTTTTGTCTAGCACATGGCTGAAGGTTATTCTCAAGTTAGTTGTTCTTCTGTAGATAGATCCTTATTGTACCAGAAACATGTTATGAGGAAGCTTATCTTGATCTGGAGTATATTCAAAGTGCCTATTGGAAACCGTTAGTGTAATATTCTTTGGCACCCACTGTTGTGCTCAGTAACTCTGTTGCTCCTGAATTACTTTTCAGAAGCATAAAAGATAAATAAAGCAAGCAACAATTCCGTCAAATAATTAGCGTAGATTTCCTGCATTACACTTACACACTGACCTTGCATTTCTAGGAGCAGTGCTTCAAACCTTCACGGAAGGCATCAACTATCAAGCTTGTCCCAAAGCGCCGATATATTTGAAATGGGAGGCCTTTGTAATCACACATGTTTTTTGGTAAGTTTGTAATCACATGTTGACCTTGAGTGATCAAACTGAACAAAGGAACAAATATTTGTCATCTGAAATTCTGAATCCATAGAAGAGCAGCCTGATGAACACCAAGA